GGTGATAGCTGCCGTGCCATGTTCCCGGGCAGCCCAGATCTGCGTGGTGGCAACACCAGGCCTTCTTATGCTCTGACCATCCGAAATACCAGTTCGAGTACCCAGCATGGCAGTTATACTGCGTGTAATGGTGAGGCGGATGGTACACGACGTGGTGCTGGTGGTAGGTGACGTGATGACAGGCCCGGCCGTACAGGTCGCAACAAATGGCCTTCTTGTCTTCATTCCATAACTCCTCAAAGTTATTGTAACCCGTTTCACAGTCAATTGCATCTCGTGCCATTCCTGGTGTGGTGACTTCATCTGCTTGTGACGTCACCGTGTGAGCGCGCAGGAGGTGGTACAGAAGATAACCTTGACATGGTGGTCTCTTAGAATGCGTGCATGGCATGCCGACTAGACGACTACTGCATGCCTAGGCACCCAGCACTGACAACAACGCCAAGGCCAGCAAGCACAGGCAGCACGACTTAGGGCGGTAGGAAAGGTACTGCTGGCTCACAACCACCTTTTCCCACTCCCCACGTCCTTAAGTACAGGTCTGCAAGTGCAGATGAGGATTGTGCAGCATGAACGGAAAAGCTACTGTAAAAACTTTTCTGTTGACTGAGACATTCAACGCTAACAGCCCAGTTGACAACACCAACCACCAACACCATTAACTGTTGGGTCAAGCTTCCATGCTCTACTTCCTTGTATGCCGCGGCGTAAGAACCTCTGCCCTCTCCTTTCCAAACCATCTGGTACTGCTCTTGCAGGTAGGCCGGATCACCTTAGATAGAAATTCGGGCACCGCAGCAGCTTTGTTGCCAGTTTGCCATGCCGTCAACTCCAGCCAACCAGCTACATCTCTCTTCCTCTTCATCCCTCCTGCCTGGCTTCCTTCCTTGGCCGTTGGTCTGCATTTTCTGCCCCAATTTCCCTTCATCAGATCCAACATACAAGGGAAGAGACCTATGCACATGTTCAATTCCCAAGAACAACCAAGAAAGTGTCCGCAAAACCATCGGGTTCACTTCACTGACATCTTGCTACGCGAGCTCACCGGTGGGTGCGACTTGGCTGTCAGAACCCTTCAAAGTATTGCTGCCCAGCTGAAATCCTCCAATGACAGACTGCAAAGCATCCCTTCTGCAAGTGGGGTGGCCTTCGCAGAAGAGATCGAAGCATCCCAACTGTCCTTCTTTCGCCACTTCGCGGCTGTGGCTTCGCTCATCTGGCATGGCGGCTATGCTCGTGAAGCCTCTTTTGTGCTACCTTGAGCTGCGCGTGAGCTGCGCTGGCTGCACGAATGCCGATACAGCCGAAGCTCCCTAATAAACAAGGGCATGTAACAGGCAATCCAATCCAAGCTTTTGCTTTGAGAAGTTCTGACAAGTTCTTGAACACGCAAGTGCTTTGCACGAGCAGCTCAAGTTCTGACAGTCCAATGTAGCAGGGGCGGCTGCAATTACAGTTCGGCCCTCAGTCGGTTTCTTACAAAGCTGAACACCTCATAAAGGAAAAAACCTTAACCTAACAGCCTAACAGTGCCGCGTGCAGCCAAACGAGGCAATTACCTATCTGGCCAGCATCTAGTCTCACGCGCAGGAGTTGCCCACGTGGCGGCAGCACCAGTTCTGTTCAGAAGAGACCGAACAAGCATCCGTTGCAAGACGAACCGTGACAAATCTACACTGCCTTCTTGGCTGGGGACCAGCCCGTCCGCCAGCGAGCGAAACCAGCGAAGCAGTCAAAGGGCAGATTTCCCGAAGCATGAATTTGGATCCAGTGTCCATGCCCTGACAAAGTTCCATGAAAGCTGAGGATCCTCAAGATGTCTGAGCCACGCCTCCTGCTGTGGTCCACTGCCACATCATTCCGGCACCAGCAGGGCCAGGAGGATGTGCGGGGCCTCACCAGGCAAGAACACCCAGGCATGCGTTCACACATGATTCATACGATTCCCTGTCATACCTATGTACAGGATGTTAAGGCTCCATCTGTGGCCACCGTGGTGGACAACCACATGGCCTCTGCGGAAGCCACAGGGTGCATGCATTTGAGAGCGTTGCGGCAAACATCAGCAAACTACCTCCGAGCTTTCTAGAATCATTATGTCCTCGAGCTCGTTGAGTTCCCATCTGATACCCCCAAGTCCTCAAAACATGCTGCCGCCTCCACCGCCGCAGCCCAGCTGCTGATGGGCGCAGCACCAACCCTGCAAACATCAAGGCCAAGCTCTGCCCAACATGCCAGGAGCTTTGCGGCCTTCTTGCCCGCCGACCAGCCGGTGTGCCAATTGGCCAAGCCGGCATGGCAGTCGTAGGGCAGGCTGAAATGCCCGTGGCCATGCACGGCCACCCAGGTCCAGTAGCCGTTCACCTGTCATGTACACCCCTGCCGCATCCTGCCGCTGTGCGAAGCAGCCATCAGCAAAGGGCCGTCGCCTGCACGTGCTTCCAGACCATGCCATAGCCCGCATCCACGGCAGGCGGCGCTTTGCCCTCGCAGCCCTTACCCTGCTTGGTGCAGCACCAGTGCTTCTTCTCAGGTGACCAAGCCTCAGCCAGCAAGGAAGGCCAGGATCACTCACAATAGGTTCATCAAAAACACTCTTCCCCAGCCACTCATGACATAAGGCTTCAGGATTCTGCAACGTGGGTGCGGGCTGATGGTTTTTTTGTTGACATGGCTATCAACAACGCTCATGCCCCAGCCTGCCCTTCGAATTCTCTGGATGTGGCCCCCTTGACTTCGCAGGATCTCTCCGTAGGATAGCAGTGGCATGCGTTGGACT